CCCCCGCCACGCACAAGTACACTCAGAGTACAATATTTTGATATTTATGATATATTATAGCGATTTAAATCAGTTACGTAAAACTCTTAATCTGTACAATAAATCATGTCTAATCGGACACCCAATGTAATCAAACAAATTGTTCGGATTAGACAAGGCATCGGAATGCACAGGTATTCATGGTAATTTATATCTTAATCACGTCAGGAGAGATCAAAATTTTATACTATACCTGTATACGTAGCTGGTCGGATATGACAGAACAACAGGTTTCAAGGAAGCTCGGTAAGGTAAAAAAGTGGTAAATTTAACCACGGAATTAGATTATCTAAGTCCGTGATTTAACAAAGCTCGATTGAAACCTCATCACGCATAACTGTCCGCAATAGTGGAATATTATATAGCGCTAATGTTATGCACTGCGACAAGGAAGAGGACAAATAGTATACGTTCCTGTGACCACAGGGGCCTGATAATTCGTTACCTGATCAATACATATACTGTAAATGTGCTTGTGACAGGGGCTATAGCAACGATAGATATGGATAATGTATACCACGGAGTTAGGTTATCTAAGTCCGTGTATATACTTGTTTTTTTTTTATTTTCATCGTTGCTAAGCAAGTACCTGCGACAAGTGCCAATTGTCTATCGTTATTATCACAGATGTCAGTAATATAATATATTATAGAATACTTGTAGGCACGAAAACCGTTAAAAGGGGTACGTGGTTTCCACGTTGGTTGGTATTATAGGGTTCTATCAACAGCTCGAGGCATGCGTGCATGTGTGTTGTGTATGCGTGCATGTGTGCTAGAAACAGGGTATATTTGTGTAATTGCCTCTTTGTGAAAGCACGGATCTGATGCCGTCTTTATAGAGTGCTACTTCACTGAAATACCATGCGTGTTGAAGGCACCCACTTTATAATGACAACGGGTGAACCAGTTGTTGACATTACCCAAAATGCTGAACGTTACGCAGTGACTAGTTTAACAAGTGCCATGTTAAGGACTTTGGTATGAACAGATCCCACTGCCTTCCTCACCACCGGGGCGAACGCTTGAAACATTAGCCAGATACATATTACTCTTTTAAAGCCAAAAGTGAGGTTTTGCCAAGCAGGGCACCAGGAAATAAAAGGTATTTAGAAGAAGAGAGAAAGAGAAAGATACCAAGAATTGCAATGGGTGCAGCGGATTTATTTGTTAGCTTTCGTGTCCCAAAGTAGAGGGCACAAAAGCAAATCCCTAATTCTGCAGAGGTTTCCCACATTAGCCGCCTCCTACGATCACACAGTGGGTCGATCACCTGCAGGGATGGGTCTCCACGTAAACCGTTAGGATACTAACAGGTGTCTGTGATCTCCACCGCTTCACCATAATGTGAATTAGCGCCTGCGGAAATGTCCTAATCTAACCAATGCCGTGGAAATAACCACTATGGCTGTTGTCTATCACTCTTTTGACACGTTTGACTAGCCATCCATTTATTTTTATTGCGACACGAAGGGGGGTACCAGTTAGTTACCTTGCCGGTCACAGTGGTCAAGCAAAGCTAGAGCGGTCAGCCTCTAGTTTGGTTGTTGTTCCTATATGGCATATAACCATCGATGATAATGTTAATAACGCCACAGGACTTCGAAATATTGATAGTAGATCGTCATTTTCTCGTGGGATTTTTTTGTTTGATTTTTAATACAGTAACTATTCCGTTTGTCAAGTCAATCTAGTGTAAGAAGGATTGTAATTTGAAGAACTTACTTTAGAGAACTCCTACACATAGCCCCATTAGGAGTTAAATCCGGACCAGAATGAAGAGTCCGTTTCATTTATTATAGAACCCTTATATGACAGACTTTATGAGAGTAATATTTATTAATGAGGGCGATATTATCAATCGGGAAGGTATCACGTGCAATGATTGGAACAATAAAGTTAAGACTGCATGACTAATTTACTATATTTTACCGGTACACGTCATTGTGTAAACGTGAATTGTAATAAAAATAAAACCACGTGCAAAATAAAAATAAAAAATAAAGACGAAATTTGAACCGAAGTTAAAGAGGCAATAGTGAAATGATGGAAAATTTGAGAAAAATCAATAGAAGTTATTTTTATAAATGTTTCAAGAGAGAAGTGCATTGCGTAACTGCACTACCTTGTAAATTTGTAGCTAACTAAACGATTAATAAAAATATAACAATAAAAATGTCTTCAAATATCTGGAATTAATGAGATTTCGTTAGTACCGGTATAATGCAAAAAGAAAATGAAATCATGTTCTTGTAGCCCGTATTTCTCTACTCGACAAAAAGACATCCATTCCTCAGCATCACTGGCCTGAGAGCGTACAGGGTAACATGGATGTCTAGATAGCGGTGACAAATCTTTGTTAAAATTGGCCAGGCGGAAGACTTTTGT